GGCAGAGGGGCGGCGTTGCCCCGGCTTCCCTTGGTGTTTGGTAAACGAGCCCATCAGTGGCACAAAGGAGGGCTAACGAGGCTGCGTTTGGCTGGGAGGGGGCAGCTTTGGCTGCGTGGTACCGGAGGAGCCTGGTAGACACCACGGCCCGGCCTCAGCCCTTCCCTTCTCCCTAAACCACCACATCCATCCCCCAAATTCACCCGACCTGCCACCGAACCGCCCCAGCGCTCACTCCTCGAACACCCGACTAACCCCGAGGCAACGGGAATGTTTTGGACTCTGCCAGGGCACGTAGCCTCCCAGTAACCTCAGGAGTCTCAGTTCCAAGAAGAGAGCTCGTTAATGATTGCCTAATTGGCTGCACGGAAGGCACGGGCTTGGGTAAAGTCTGCCTGCGGCAGGGGGAGTGCTGAGAAAAGCCCTGCTGCCTCCTGCCGCAGGTTAATGATTGGCTTGCTTTGGGGTTCATTCACCTCCTCCGCCTCTTGGGGCTGCCCGAATCCTTCCCAGACATCCCAACACTCACCTGGGGTCAACCCAACCTCCCAGAAATGGGACGAACTGGTTTGAAGTGGGAACTGGCTGCTTTAATCTATGCTGGGTTTCAAGCATTCATCACCAGCTCACCCCTGCTGCTCAGATCCCCACCTTAAATACAGCCTGAGCTCCAGCTTATTCTGGGCTTAAATTCCAAGGAGGAGGAGGAGGATTAGTACAGCAGGTGGGAGGCCATGGCTCTGGTTGGATCCTGCCTGGATGCTGCCCAGACACATCCCTGAGCTGCCTCTGCTCTAACATGGCAAAAATCACCTGCAGACTGGCAGGAGGAAGGTGCTGGTGTCTCCATCCCACCTGCTTTTGGGGTTCAGGGAGGGATCGTGATCCAGAAGTGGCCACGTGACCAGATCCAGCCCCAAAACCATCCCCAGGTTCCCACAGAGGCTTTACCTGCACAGACTTAGAGCTGGGTGGGCAGCGGGTGCCCAGGCCAGAGCCTGGCTCTTTGGGATCCCTCTGCCTTTACCTGGGGTTGGATACCTTTGGGCTGAGCTCTGTCTTCACGAGGGTGAGGTATTTGTGCAGCTTCTGCCAGAGGATGGGCTTGGGGAGGCTCCCGTTGGCGTGGATGGCGTGGACTCGGGCCATCTCCTGAGCCACCAGCCTGGGGGGAGCACAGGTGAGGGGTGAGAGGGGTTCTGAGCAGCTCCCAAGAGGAGAGCACTCCTCAAAATCCCCCTCAGGACATCCCCAAAAGACCCTTGGGATGTGTTGAGGGGGATTCCCCAAAAAGAGTGTTTAAAAACCCGGGGTTAAGCACAGCTGAAACCCCCTTCCACGTCAGCAATCAGCCTCTGGAGCATTTCAGACAGCATTCACCTTTCCAGGGCAAGCTCAGCCCCAAGCTGTGGCTCCCAGGAAACCTCCACTCGCCAAAAGCTGACGCTTTAAAGCTCTGGTGACAAACCCAGCTGCCCATTCATCCCCCAGCACCACCCAGGACTGCACACAGCGACGCCCCAGCACTGCTCCAGAGCCACAGCAGCGAGGGGGGAGCTGGAAACAGGGAGCAGCACCGGAGGAGCACTGATCCCCCCATCCTGGGGCTCCCCGGAGGAGGACACGGGGGTCCCACCTGAAGATGTGGGGGTCCCGCACGTGGTCGGGCCCCAGGGCGATGCCCGGCAGGAACTGGTAGCAGAGCCCGTTCTGGAAGGCGCAGTACAGGTCGGGGGCACAGCCATGGGCACGCAGCACCTGGAAGTTCCTCAGCTCCGTCTCCCGGTCCACCAACAGCTCCGTCTTCCTGCCGTAGACACGGACCAGCACCGCGTCCGCCATCCCCTCGTCCGTGTAACAGGCCACCAGCTTGTTGGTGATGCCATCCGTGAAGAGCTGCAGGGGGAGAAGGGTGGCCTGCACACCCCTGCCGTGCCAGCTGGGAACAGGGAAACCCCTGCCCACCAGCAGATCCCAGGGAGGAAGCACCACAGCGAGGGCAGGAGCGGGCAAAGGAAGGCGTGAGGCAGCACAGCTCCCGTGGGAGGTGACATGAGTTTGCAAGGCCTGCAGGCTCGGGGGTGAACAGGGGCTCTGCGGGGGGCCACGGGCACGAGGCTCCAGCAGCACCAAGCTGGCGGCTTGGGTGGAAATCCTGCTCTTTTTTTCACCTGGCAGCTCAGGAACAGCTCAGGAATGGCCGAGGCCAGATGTGCCGCCAGCACTCTTGGCACAGGAGCAGCCCCGGGAATCGCTCCCAAAAAAACGGCGTAAAACGAGGGGGGGGGGGGAAAGCCCAGCAAGGCAGAAAACAACCCGGAGCAAACACCACCACCACCCCATCCCCTCCTCCGACCCTCCCCGCGGGGCCGGGGTGCTGATAGGCGGGGACGTCTCTGCTGGGGACGTCCCGTGTCACCGGCTCTGACGGCTCCTCGCAGATGGAAAGGGAGTTTTGTTCTCCCGTCGCTCCCGCCTGGCCGCCTGCCCGTGCACATGCCGGGGCTGCTGCCGGGCTCCGCTCCCCATCCCGCCGGGATCTCGGTCACCTCCAGCGCCCCTGAGGGGTTTTTGGGTCTCCGTCACCTCACGGGAAACCCCTGCCCCAATCGCCCCCCGCGCCGTGGAATGCTCAGCCCCACACGGTCCCACTGCCTGCTGCTGCTCCTCGTGGGAATGATTCCTTCCTCCCTCTGGGATGGGGGAGCCGGAGCAGGTGTGATGCTGGCGGAGCAGGAGGGGGGTGAGGGCTCGTGCTCCGGCAGCCGCGGAGCCCGGGGGTGGGATGGATAATTTTAGACATCCCACTCAGCAACCCACGCTCCCATATAGGGTGCCTATATATAGGGCTCCCCGTGCAGCCTCCCCAGGGGGAACTCAAAGCACTGGAATGAGACCCCCGAAGTCAGACGGCGCTCACGGCCCCTGCTGCACAGCTGGAGGTGGATTTGGGGGGAGCACAGCACGCGGCGAGGCAGCCACCTCATCCTGGGGGGCTGCTGGGACAGGCTGAACCCTCTCAAGCTGCTTTTCCCAGGGCAGATAATCTGTGTTTGTACCACGGTGCCACACTCAGCCCTCCTCTCCTTGTCCTGCCAGGCCCCAGAGGCTGGAAATTCAGGGAGCAGAGGTGCCGTGGCCCATCCACGCAGAAAACTGTCCCCTCTCAGCCGCAGGTGAGCGGCTCCACCTCGAGATGCTCAGCAAAGTCCTTGTGCTGCTTTGGTTTTGCTGCCCGACGGCCCGATCAGCCCTTTCCAGCAGGTTTCACGGGATTACTGAGCCTTATCCCCCCCTGAATTCCAGGCCACTAACTTTGGAGACGCACACGTGGTTCCTCAGCAACCTGCACGCAGGGGCTCGCCTGCTTTGGAGGCGGCAGCTCCTCCAGCTCCCAAGGAATGAGCGCAGCTGCTTGGGAGATGCCTGGTGCTATTCCTTGTGGATCCAGACTGCAGCCACCCTGCTACCAGCCCAAATCCTTCCCTGCTGCAGCTGTGTGACAGCAGGGACGGAGGAAAAGGCGCCTGACAGCGTGTGACTCCACACCAGGAGCTCTGCAGCAATGAAATGCGAAGTGAGAGCCGAGCCCTGGGCGAAGGGAAGCAGCAAAATCCAACACCTGGTGCTGCACCTGCTGGAGACCCCTCAGCATTCCCAAAGCACCACCGTGCTGGCTGGCCCAGCACCCCCAGCCTGTGCCAGGCTGCAGCAGGGCAACTTGTTGCCAAAATCAGGCTGCAAAAGTCCAGCCATGCCGGAGTCCTTGCAGAGGTTTGGCTCCGGTCGCTGCTGTTGCCCTTATCTCGGGATGAGGGATGGAGGAGTGTGTGCTTCCCTGAGAGCACAGCAGGCTGACTCACCGGCACAGAGGTGCTTAAGGGATGAGGAGCAGGAGCCCTGGGAAGTGGGCAAACCTGGAGCCCCCAGCAAGGAGAGGGCAGGCAGGGGAGGCCGAGCACCCAGATCCTTCTCCCGGTGTTCCACCCCCTGCCCTGAGCTCCGGGAGATTTTCCCGTGCCACTGGCACAGCCTGGTACAGCCCCTGCAGGCAACTGTGCACCAACACCGGGCAACGAGGTGGTGTGAACCGGGCACAGCTCCAGGGCACCGGGAAAGGGACTGGGAATGCTAATGGGAACCAGCTGAGGACCCTGCACTGCTCCAGTCCCCTCCCCAACGGCTCCTGCAATAGCAGCTGAGAGAAACGCAACGGGAGGGTTTTCCCTCAAACCCTATGATTTTTTTTTCCCCTTTATTTTTAAATTAAAAACACACACACAAGCTGTTGTTGAACACTGACCCCTCCAACGCCTGCAGAGCCTGGATACCGGGGTCCTTCCACAACCACCGAGGGCTGTGCTGGGCGCTGCACAGAGCGAGACATTTCCTGCCCCTACAACTCCAGCTCCCAGCTTCCTGCCTATTGCCATCTGCCCTTTCAGATGGATTTTCCTGCAGCTTCTTGTATTTAATTACACTTGGCTATTAATACATTTTTAATGGCACTCCAGGCACACGGGAAGCATGTGCCTGCAGAGGACACACACACACACACACACACGTGCAGATGTTTGAGTGCATCCAGTTCCAGCACCTCCACACTCCAGTGCCCGTCGCCAGGAGGCTGCTGAGGGCACAGACACCACCAGCCTGTCTCACAGGGACCTGGTACCCCTGGGCAGAGGTGAGGAGGAGGAAAGGGATTGCCATACCAGGCAGGTGCCAGCCCTGCTCTGCCAGCAAAGCCCTGCCAGCTCCACACGGCCAAGCCCTGTCCCGTGCAAGGGATTCAGAGCTGGACTCCAACTCCCACCTGAACTGCAGCTCAGCCCACACAGCCCAGGAAAGGTGAGAGCCAACAAGTCACCCAAGCGAGAGCAGCTCCCAGGAGTAGCTGCTCCTGTGGGCACCTCCAGCCTTCAGCCCACACCTTGGCAGCCTGCAGGGACCCTGGGGACACACTTGCTCTTCACAGTCACCTCTCAGTGGCCACCTGAGGGATCCCTGAACCTTGTGGGGATGTGTGTGATGGGGGTGTCACCCCTTTGCACATCTGATGGGTCCCAGTTATGCTCAGAGAGAGGAGGGGAGAAAGAACCAGAAGTGGGGGGACAGTGTATGACACCCTCCTTGGCAGGTCCTAGAGCCCCCCATGGTGGGTTCTACAGTCACCTCCTGTGGATCTTACAGCCCCCCCGAGTGAGGTCTATTGCTGTCCCAGGGCTGGCCCTATAGCCCCCCACGGGGAGCCCCACAGACCCCCTTGGGTGAACCCTACAGACCCCCTTGGGTGAACCCTGCAGCCTCCCTTGCATGATCCCTACAGCGCCCCTCGGGTAGACCCTGTAACCCCTCAGGGTTGAACCCCACAGACCCCCCAGGGCAGACCCTGTAGCCCCCCAGGGTGAGCACCGGAGCCGCCCCCGGGCGAACCCCTATAATCTCGGGGGACCCTATAACCCCGTACCCACCGCC